ATCCAGAGAATAGAGCAGGTACGATAAACTTAAAAGCCCCGCAGGTGCCAGGCAGGTAACAAAAGTGAGCATGAAGGCAACTAAGGACTTGGGAATTAGAGGATGCAGCCCCATCTAGTGGCCTCCTGGTCAAATAGCAATGCAGTCCAATCTTGCCAGGTCTTTCCAGGGAAGCTACAAATCTTGGCTTTAATTTCAAATCTCCGGTTTTGTGCATGTTGCCTCAAGTTAAAAAAAAAAAAGACATTATAGTTTTTTTTAAATATATTTTTTTTACCAGATTAGGCCAGCCACATTTGGGGAAACTGAAATACCTTGTTTCACAATCTTATTTGCCCACAGAATTTTCCTTCAAAGGACCTATTAACTTCCTAGAATTCTAAAAAGTGTCAAAAATGTTGCCCCTGGCCAAGCACAGTGGCTCATACCTGTAATCCCAGCACTTTTGGGAGGCCAAGGCAGGTGGCTCACCTGAAGTCAGGAGTTCAAGACCAGCCTGGCCAATATGATGAAACCCTGTCTCTACTAAAAATATAAAAATTAGCTGGGACATGGTGGCAGGCGTCTGAAATCCCAGCTACTCAAGAAGCTCAGGCAGGAAAATCACTTGAACCCAGGAGGTGGAGGTTGCAGCGAGCCAAGATTGTACCATTGCCTGGGTGAAAAGAGAAAACCTCTGTTTTAAAAAAAAAAAAAAAAAAAAAAGCATTTCCTTTGAAAGCAAGCATCCTGTTGTCCTAGACTACCGTGGTATAAGTAGCTCTGAACCCCAAGCATGAATTATTTCAGAGTTTACTCAAACTGAAATTGAAATTAATACCAGCCCTAACTGTTCATGTTGAAATGTTCCTTTTCTGATAAATCTAGCCCTGGCAAAGCTATACTTTTTACTGGTGACTGAAGATAGCCTTACAATAAGCTTAATTGAATTATTAAAAAAAATACAGGAGGGAGAGAGATCCAAGATGGCCAACTAGCAGCAGCTCAGGGTTGCAGCCCCCAGTGAAGGTGTAGGGAGTGAGTGGACGCCAGACTTCCAGACGAATTTTTGTTGCCTACGGACCAGGAGATTCCCAGTGGAGGAGCCCCACAGGTCGCCAGCGTGACTCTTTTGGCCGGCGTGGCTGTTTCACCGGCATCCGAGCGCTGCGGTTCTCAGTGCAGAGTATGCAGGACTGGGTGCCCTTTTGGTTAGCGTTTGGAGCTCTGGGATGGCATGGTCGCCCATTCGGCTAATTGAAAAGGGGACTGAAGCTGGGAGCCAGACCGGGAGATTCCCGGGCAGAAAAGCCCCATGAATCTCAGTGCGGCTGTTCAGCCGGCGCCATCGCGGCAGGGGAAATTGCATACATCCCAGCGCCTTTTCGGTGGGCAACTGGGGCACCTGGGAGAGAATCAACCATTCAGTTAGGAAAAGAAAAACAGAGGGCTCCGAGGCGGGGAGCCAGGTGATCGGGCTCAGCCGGCCCCACCCCAACAAAAAGCAGCAATTGGAAACACTAACTGTTGAGAGTTTCACAGCAAGCACAGCTGAACCCGGGAAGGTCCAGCTCTGTGGGGGAGGGGCGTCCGCTGAAGGAAAACAAAGAAACAGAAATAACATCATCACCGACAAGCTGGGCGTCCACTCAGAGACCCAATCTGAAAGTCAGCAAATACAAAGACGACAGGTGGATAAATCCACAAACATGAGAAGAAACCAGCACAAAAAGGCTGAAAACATCCGAAATCAGAATGCCTCTCCTTCTTCAGGGGATAGCAGCTCCTCATCAGCAAGGGAACAAGGCCTGATGGAGAATGAGTGTGATGAATTGTCAGAATCAGGCTTCAGAAGGTGGATAATTAAGAAACTTCTGTGAGCTAAAAGAATATGTTCTAACCCAATGTAAAGAAACTAAGAACCTTGAAAAAAGGTTTGACAAAATGCTAACGAGAATAGACAATTTAGAGAGGAATATAAGTGAATTAATGGAACCGAAAAACACAATACGAGAACTTTGCGAAGTATACACAAGTTTTAGCAGTCGAATTGATCAAGCAGAAGAAAGGATATCAGAGGTCGAAGACCAACTCAATGAAATAAAACGAGAAGACAAGATCAGAGAAAAAGGGTAAAAAGGAATGAGCAAAGTCTCCAAGAAATGTGGGACTATGTGAAAAGACCTAATCTACGTTTGATAGGTGTGCCCGAATGCGACGAAGAGAATGAATCCAAGCTGGAAGATATTCTTCAGGATATTATTCAGGAAAGTTTTCCCAACCTAGCAAGGCAGGAAAATATTCAACTCCAGGTAATACAGAGAACACCACAAAGATATTCCTCAAGAAGAGCAACCCCAAGGCACATAATCGTCAGATTCACTGGGGTTGAAATGAAGGAGAAAATACTAAGGGCAGCCAGAGAGAAAGGTCAGGTCACCCACAAAGGGAAGCCCATCAGACTCACAGCAGATCTCTCAGCAGAAACCCTACAAGCCAGAAGAGAGTGGGGGGCTAATATTCAACATCCTTAAAGAAAAGAACTTTCAACCCAGAATTTCATATCCAGCCAAACTAAGCTTCATAAGTGAAGGAAAAATAAAATCTTTTGTGAACAAGCAAGTACTCAGAGATTTCATCACCACCAGGCCTGCTTTACAAGAGCTTCTGAAAGAAGCACTACACATAGAAAGGAACAACCAGTATCAGCCATTTCAAAAATATACCAAAAGGTAAAGAGTATCAACATAATGAAGAATCTACATCAACTAATGAGCAAAACAGCCAGCTAGCATCAAATGGCAGTATTAAACTCACATATATTATTATTAATCCTAAATTTAAATCGACTAAATGCCCCAATCCAAAGACACAGACAGGCAAATTGGATAAAAAGCCAAAACCCATTGGTATGCTGCATCCAGACCCATCTCACATGCAAGGATACACAAAGACTCAAAACAAAGGGATAGAGGAAGATTTACCAACCAAATGGAGAGCAAAATAAATAAATAAATAAATAAAAAGAAATTGCAATTCTCGCCTCTGATAAAATAGACTTTAAAGCAACAAAGATCAAAAGAGGCAAAGAAGGACATTACATAATGGTAAAAGGATTCAGGCAAAAGAGCTAACGATCCTAAAAATATACACACCCAATACAGGAGTGCCCAGATACATAAGGCAAGTTCTTAATGACTTATAAAGAGACTTAGACTCCCACACAATAATAGTGGGAGACTTTAACATCACATTGTCAATATTAGACAGATCAACCAGACAGAAAATTAACAAGGATATCCAGGACTTGAACTCAGACCTGGAACAAGTAAATTTAATAAACATTTACAGAACTCTCCACCCCAAATCCACAAAACATACATTCTTCTCAGTACCACATCACACCTACTGTAAAAGTGACTACATAATTGGAAGTAAATCAATCCTCAGTAATTGCATAGCATTTCACAGGTTTAAATGAAATATTGGTTGGCTGCCTGTTTTTTCCTCCCTTATTCCTTCCTGTCTCCATTGTTAAGCACAATTATTGACATAAAAGAGGTTTTCAATGCCCATTTTTAGACTGCATTCTAGCCTGGGCAATAAAGCAAGACTCCCATTCTCTCTCCCTCTTTCTCTTCCTCTTTCTCTCTTTCTTTCTTCTTTTTCTTTTTTTCTCCTAAAAAAAATACAGGAATTGATTATATAGGAGAAAATGCTTTGTCTTTCCAAAACAATTTTATTTTTTATTTTATTTCTAAATTTTTTTCTTAATACAGATGGGCTCTTGCCATGTTGCCCAGGCTGGTCTCAAACTTCTGGGCTCAAGCCATCTGCCCACCTTGGCTCCCCAAAGCGCTGGGATTGCAGGCATGAGCCATGTCCCTAGCCTCCAGAACAATTTTAAATGTAAAAGTGGCCTGGAGACAATTTAGAATTTGGGTCAAAACTAATGAGTTTCAAACGTTATTATATCTGTAATATAACTTCTAAGGCAGAAAAGGCAGCCTTTTCCCTACTCCCACCTTTTTTTGCTTTTATTGCTGACCTTCTTGGTTCTAAAAAATTTGTTCAGAAAGCCTGATAGCTGTTTAAACGCTTAGCACCATAACACAGACGTGGTGAAAAATTGCATAAATGGGCAGGGCATGGTGGCTCATGCCTGTAATCCCAGCATTTTGGGAGGCCAAGGCCAGTGGATCACCTGAGGTCAGGAGTTCAAGATCAGCTTGGCTAACATGGTAAAACCCCATCTCAACTTAAAAAAAAAAAATACAAAAAATTAGCCAGGTGTGGTGGTGGGTGCCTGTAATCCCAGGTACTTGTGAGGCTGAGGCAGAAGAATTGCTTGAAACCCGGGAGGTGGAAATTGCATGAGCTGAGATGGTACCATTGCACTCCAGCCTGGGCAACAAGAGCGAAACTCCATCTTAAAAAAAAAAGCATAAATGTGTTGAATCACCTGGAAAATTATTTTCTTCCCTAGGGTCTACATGTTCCACACTATTATAGCCTCTTTTAACTGGTAAAATAGATACCCCAATTCAGAGATCCAGTCCTTAATGCATCACATTTCCAGAGCCGTGAGAAAACAGCTATACCTGGTATAGTGAATTAGACTCACTTTATTTCCCCATGGAGGAAATAAAACCCCATAATTTGAAACCTTTGGAAAACATAGGCAATGCAATTTTTGGAACTGTAATGTAGAAACAATATACAATCATACAATGCTTCCAAATGAAGTCTCACATTGAATTTGCTGATTTGTAAGATAGATTTCCCTCTTCTGGACAGCTTTGATGGCCAGGATAGAGGTTCATTTGCATTTGTTTCCAGTAACTATTCTCTTTGATGGATACAGGATTTATGGGGTCTAAGGAGAACATACAATTCTAAAGTGTTCATGTTTGAGAGAGAATTCCACAATGATCAGAAGGATTGAGACAGTTTTAGCATAAAAATTAGAACTACATTAATGAGGAGGTCGGCTATACCCAGTTTGGAGCTAGAGAGTTACACTACCCAGTCCTGACATGTTGGAATGCCAGAAAAAATTGATACAGAAACATTGTCTTGGAGTCTAAAAGACAGCTGATATGCTGTTACCATCTTGGAGTCTAAAAGATGTCTGATATGCTGATATCTGTTGTCTTCTGCTGTCATGGATGCAAACTCTTGAAGAGCACCACTGGGTCTCAGTTCGTGCCATAAAGATTATTCTCAATGTAGATACTGTCTTCTGCTTGGACTTCCTTTTTAGCTGCATTTTGCAAAGCTTTAATTTGAAGGCTGCTAAAAGAAATACTGCAGAAAGAGTTGTTGAAGAATAACACGAATAAGGAAAAAGGCAGACCACTTCTCACATATGAGCAGCACTCTTGTTTATGATCAAGCAATATCAGGTCCTTGAGACTCTAGAACCACGTTCAGACAAAGTACAAAATGAATAGTGCATTCCAGAGTTGTGAAAGGTATGGCTCTTAGTATTAACTAAGTTGAAGAAAAGTCTGTTTAATAAGCATGTAGATAGACAATCTAAAAAGTATTCAAAAACTCAGCTGGTCTCTCAGAAACTCACATAATAGAATACAAAAACAGAAAATCTGAAAATACAGAGCTCTGACATTAAACTAAGTTGCTAAATCAAGATGCACATTTTCAAATGTGGCTAAGAACTGGATGACTGGTGTTTTTCCAACTGTGGCTTGTGATCCTTTCAAGAGCGTTGTTAAATCTACTTATCAATCTACATCCTATATTCAAGATAAACACAGAATAGAAAATCATTGAATGTACTTAAATAGTACTGTTTCTGAAGTGTACACTGGATCATGGTGTTAAAAGTCTTCCTGTGCTGGATGCAGTGGCTCAGGCCTCTCATCCCAGCACTTTGGGAGGCCATAGCAGGAGGATCACTTGAGGCCAGGAGTTTGAGACCAAAATGAGCAAAATAGTGAGGCCCCGTTTCTACATTTTTTTTTTTTTTTAGTTAGCCAGGTGTGGTGGCTTGTGCCTATAATCCTGGCTACTCCATTGAACCTGGGAGGTGGAGGTTGCAATGAGCTGAGATCACACCACTGCACTCCAGCCTAGGCCAGAGTGAGACTCTGTTTCAAAAAAAGAAATCAGTAGAAAGAGTGGAAATACAAGTGAAGGAAGAAAGTGGACTTAATTTTAACTCGTGTAGCATTTTGATGTAACTGGATATTTTTATGTAAGATATTTGTATATAGTGACTATTTGTTACCAAAGCCTGCCCCCAGAATATGGAACTTGTCTTCATTCAGCTGCAGATGAAAAACATGTCCACACATTTAAAGAACCATGAGAAACAAAACTCCTTTATCGTTCCTAAACAGGTCAGTCATACATGTGTGAAGACACTTAGTTTTAAGTGTCAGTGAGCTCAAATGACTCAGTGTGACGTAACTGCCAAAAAGATAAAGTCATGAGGAAGTTCCCATAATTCGTTAGTGTGGTTTTTTTGGCTTTTTTTTTATACTTTACACATTTCTCTTTCATTCCAGAAATATTTGTGAGCATGGATCCCTGAGATTGAGTCCTTTATATGCTATGGGATGTGACCTTAGATGTCACTCAACATTTCTGAAACTGTTTTCCAATCTGTAAAATGAGAATAGTACCTCTCTCACAGTTTATTGCTGTAAAGGGCTTGATTGCAATAATAAAAGTCAAGGTGTATTGAGCACTTACAATGTGCTAGACACTGTTCAGACAGGTTCTCTGGATTGGCTCAGTTAATTAACTCAGACTCAGGAAAGCCTGTGTACAAGCATCCAATGAAGGAGAACTAGGCTTAGTAGACAGTAGCCTAAGTAAGAGGGATGGATTCTGAATCAGATAAAGTCCTTGCTTAAAACTCAACCTGAACTAAATGAAGCAGGCTGGTTGGCTTTAGAACTAGGTAGTTGTCTCCTACCAGTACAGGCGATGGGGTAGATGGCCTTGGGACATCGATACAGTAAAGGGGATTTAAATTGAAACTGAGGCCGGGCGAATGGGTTCATTCCTGTAATCCCAGCACTTATGGAGGCCGAGGTGGACGGATTACCTGACGTCAGGAGTTCGAGACCAGCCTGACCAACATGGCAAAACCCCATCTCTACTAAAAATACAAAAATTAGCCAGGTGTGATGGCAGGTGCCTATAATCCCAGCTACTTGAGAGGCTGAGGCTGGAGAATTGCTTGAACCCAGGAGGCAGAGGTCACAGTGAGGCAGGAGATCACACTATTGCACTCTAGCCTGGGTGACAAGAGTGAGACTCCATCTCAAAAAACGAACAAACAAACAAAAAATGTAACTGGGCAGCAGAAAAGACTGAAAAGTCTTTAAGGGCAAATTCCAAGTGTCTTCAAGCCTAGACAGCTAATATAGACCTGTGGAGCAAGCCGGGCCGGGGGCAGCAGGGAATGATGGGAGCTGTGGAAAACTGGAGGCACCTGCCCCACCTCAGTGCCTTTGCACTCCCTGCCCCTCCAGCCAGGAGTTATCTTCCTCCAAGTTTCCTACTTTCTTGGCATTCACTCAAACAGACCCTTATCTTGTTCTATAGTCCCATAGTGTTTGTAAGCATGTAAAAGAACTGTGTTTATCTGCTTACATGGTTTCTGTTTTATTCATCTCCTTGGAATATAATACTCAATAAACACTCAGTAAGACAAAGCATTGAGTGAAATAAAGGAACACACTAAAGGAACTCATTCAATGTTTAGTTCCATCGAGCAAATCTTGCAATTTAGTTATCTTGCCTTATGGGGTTTGGTTAGGACTGAGGTGCTCCCTCTGTACCAGCTCTGCCACAACTCCAGGGAGATACACAAAGCTACAAATACCACTGGAAGGTGTAAATAATAGAAGTGCTCATTCAAGTAGACTGTCGGGATCCAATGTATACAATGGAGAGTTTAGGAGAGAGACAGAAATCTATTTTTATTTTACCAGAGTGGGAACCTCAAGAGGTATTGATAGAAATACTTTCAAGCTTACCTTAGTTCTGCAGTCTTGTTTCTGAAGAAATATTCTAAATTGGAGGGGTGGGAGAGAGGAATTGAAGAGAAAATTAAACATCTCAGCAACAGTTCATAATATCCTCTTTCAATCAAGTGTATTATTTCTGTTATTGCTTGGATTTTTCCCTGGTCCCTGCAGGCATCTCCTTCCCTTTTGAGTCTGTAGGACCCAAACAAGCCATTTACTGTTCAGTATCTCAATCTCATTAATGGTTTGGTGTATTCATCCCCATGTCCTCTCTAACTGTAATGCAATTCTTAAATTATCCTTCATTTTAAAAAAAATGAGTAAGTCCAAGATCCTTCAGATAGGCTGCTGAGTAATAAGCATGAACCAAGATTTGTTTTAGGTGAACTGGGACACAAGGTCATAGACTAAGAGCCACCTCTACGAAAGGATACATTTGCAGGAGCTTATACTACCAGTCGTCTCTCTTAGAGAAGGAAAGAATGAGTTGTTTTTGCTTAAGGGGAAAAGCATATTTTGAGGTTCTTAGGACTCAGAAAACAATGCCCTCAAATAGGCTGCTTTGGACTTCAAATTGAGAGCACCTGGGGAGGAGCATATGCAGGGAAGGGCCTTCTCTGAAGCTCCCCTATCTAGCTAAAGGCCAGATCCTCCAGAAGACATTCTGTTGTTGTGAATCTCTCCCCCAGATATCTCATCAATGGCAGGGAGATTGATGCACAACCCAGGAATAAGACTAGAGCTGATAACACATCCAGAGTCCAGAGGAACTTCATTCCTGCCCTCTGTTCTTTGGGCCCATTCATCTTCCCTAAAAATCATTTACTCTTCCTCTAAAATTGCCTACATTCATCACTTTTCTCTCCCCTAAGAAAAGGGTATCTAAGGCCAGGCACAGTGGCTCACAGCTCTAATCCCAGCACTTTGGGAGGCTCTGTATTTAATTTTTCTTGGCCTGGCACCGTGGCACACTCCTGTAATCCTAGCACTTTGGAAGGCTGAGGTGGGTGGATCACCTGAGGTCAGAGTTCAAGACCAGCCTGGTCAACACGGTGAAATCCCATCTCTACTAAAAATACAAAAATTAGCTGGGTGTGGTGATGCACGCCTGTAATCCTAGCTACTAGGGAGGCTGAGGCAGGAGAATCGCTTAAACTCAGGTGGCGGAGGTTGCAGTGAGCCAAGACTGTGCCATTGCACTCCAACCTGTGAGACAAGAGAGAAACTCTGTCTCAAAAAGTTCTTATAGGATTAAATTTTTTCCCATAGGGTAATAATAATTGAAAAATAACAAGTTTAAAAAATAATGGTTTAAAGTGAAAACTCCACTAGAATGTAAGCTCCATGAGGTTTATGAAGATTTAAGGCAAAAGGATCTTTCTAAGTACAGTTACGGTTTAAGATTGCTGTGCACTTGTCACGTGAACCAGTCTCAGTGCTTTTTCTTTTTGTTCTTTTCCTTTTATTTTAGAGACAATGTCTCACTATGTTGCCCAGGCTGGTTTTGAACTCCTGGGCTCAACAATCCTCCTGTCTCAGCCTCCCAAAGTGCTGGGATTCCAGGCATGAGCCACTGCTCCTGGCTGGTTTTTAACAAAAAAATTTTTTTGAGACGGAGTTTCACTCTGTCGCCCAAGCTGAAGCGCGGTGGCACAATCTCGGCTCACTGCAACCTCCGCCCCCTGGGTTCAAGTGATTCTCCTGCCTCAGCCTCCTGAGTAGCTGGGAACACAGGCACATGCCACCATGCCCAGCTAATTTTGGTATATATATATATTTTTTTTTTTTTTTTTTTAGTAGAGATGGGATTTCAACTCCTGACCTCGTGATCCGCCCACCTTGGCCTCCCAAAATGCTGGGATTACAGGCATGAGCCACGGCACCTGGCCTAAATTTTTTTTTAAGAGATGGGGTTCCCACCATGTTGCCCAGGCTAGTCTTGAACTCTTGAGCTCAAGCAATCCTCCTGCCTCCTTCAGCCTCCCAAGTAGCTAGGATTACAGGCACGAGCCCCCACACCCAACTCCCATTCTCAGTGCTTTGTAGGTACTAATGCATTCAAACTTCATTTTCCCTGCCCCCTTGACATAGATGTTATTACCAGGTTCCTTTTACAAATGAGGAGTTGGGGGATAAAGGGAAGTCATGTGAGATCAAAATCACGTGACTTAAGAAACTAGTGAACCCAGGCAATTTGGCCATACATTTCTTGTTCCAGTCCCTTAGGAACAAACTCGAAATGACTTACTTTTGGCAGTGATGGCACCTAAAAGAGCAAAAGTACCAAGACAGAAATGCAGAGTCCAGCATAAAGTTCCTTAGTGGTGGTGGCCATCTGTGGACTATATACTTGGGTCAGTTGCTAAGGAAACAATAACAGATTGAAACAGCATCTTGTTAAAAAGTTATGAAGAGAAAACATTTCCCAGAATCACTTACCAGCCACATTCACCTGTATTGGTGCCTGGGTACTTCTGGAACGTAAGGGTGAGACCAAATGATATGAGTTTTTAACATATGGTGAAAATCTAAGACAAACTGAAATTCAAAACATATTTTACAATGATAAAGGTGTTTTCTATCTTGCTTGAGGTCATATTTACATAGGTGTACGCATTTGTCAAAACTAAAACTGTATGCTTAAAACAGGTTTATATGTAAATTTTTAAATTTACTGTTTTAAAAGTCAATAGGCTATTTCCATAAATACATCCTCTTGTGATATTTGAAAAGAAAAAGGTCAGGTGTGGTGGCTCATGCCTGTAAATCCCAGCACTTTGGGAGCCCAAGCAGGCAGATCAACTGAGCTCAGGAGTATGAGACCAGCCTGGACAACATGGTGAAACCCGTCTCCACTAAAAACATAATGGCTGAGTGTGGTGGTGCGCACCTATAATCCCAGCTACTCAGGAGGCTGAGGCAGGAAAAACTGCTTGAATCCAGGAGTTGGAGGTTGCAGTGAGCCAAAATTGCACCACTGCACTCCAGCCTAGGAGACGGAGTGAGACTATCTCAAAAAAAGAAAAAAAAATGTGTTGATATAAATAGACTTGGTGTTATCTTAATGCTCAGTTTTTGAATTTTGTCCTTGATGGCAATCCTTACTTGTATTTTTACCTGTAATTGACTATTCTGTCTCTATCTATGTAAACAGATTAGAGAGTAGCAGCACACAGATATATCCATGATTACCAATTCTATGCAATCATGCAGAAATACAGAATTATTTGTCTTCTGGTGCCTATCACAAGAGATCATCACCTCCTGGAATAAGCCTGAAATGTGCCAGGCGTCATGCTAGTTCCCCTTTCACGGCTTAGTTGCAACCCTAAAACAATCTCCCTGGGTAGGTATTTTAATAGAAGGAAAAGGGAGAATCTGAGTGAAGTCCAAGTCTTCCCATCTGTAAAAGCTTCATCTCTGGAGTCAGGATCCCACGTCTTGTACTTAGTCACTTCGTGACCATCGACAAGCTGTTTAACCTCTCTGAACCTATTTCTATGTCTAGCAACAACAGATTCAATAGGGTCTTTGCAAGGGTACTTTTAGGTCCTTCCTGATAAACACTATGAATACAGTGGAGTAACAGCAATTGAGCCATGCTTGCTTAGAAGTGGCATAGCCAGGCTGAGCGTGGTGGCTCACGCCTGTAATCCCAACACTTTGGGAGACCAAGACAGGAGGATCACAAGGTCAGGAGATCAAGACAATCCTGGCCAACATGGTGAAACCCTGTCTCTACTAAAATACAAAAAATTAGCCAGCTGTGGTGGTGCATGCCTGTAGTCCCAGCTGCTCAGTAGTCTGAGGCAGTGGAATCACTTGAACCCAAAGGCAGAGATTACAGTGAGCTGAGATCACACCACTGCACTCCAACCTGGAGACAGAGCAAGACTTCATCTCAAAAAAAAAAAAAAAAAAACTGGCATAGCCAGTGTCTTGGAGTGCACAACTGTGTTGTTACTACCTTACCTATAGGGTGGGAGGGAAGTGTAATGTGGGTAGATGGAGAATGGGATTTCAGGAGACAGGTTTTGCTTTCATTTGTTAATTACATTACACAAATACTGCATGCTCATTTTAGAATGTGCAACTAAGCATAAAAAAGAAAACGAAAAAAAAAGCGTAAACAGGTCAGGGACAGTGGCTCACACCCATATTCCCAGAGCTTTGGGAGGCTAAGGCAGAAGGATAGCCTGAGCCCAGGAGTTGGAGACCAGTTTGGTGAGAGCCTGTCTCCAGAAAAAAATAAAATTAGCCAGGCATGGTGACAAGTGCCTCTGGTCCCAGCTACTTAGGAGGCTTGGGGTGGGAAGATCACTTGAGCCTGGGAGGACGAGGCTGCAGGGAGCTGTGATCGTGCCACTGCACTCCAGCCTGGGCAATGGAGTGAGACCCTGTCTCAGATAAATAAATAAACCATAACTTTCACATCCAGAAACGAGCACTTTTACCATTTTGCTTTATATACTTTCTAGAATTTTATCCTTCTAGGATTTTTCCTTCACAGAAATAATTACTATATATATATATATATGTATATATATATATATTTTTTTTTTTTTGAGACGGAGCTTTGCTCTTGTTACCCAGGCTGGAGTGCAATGGCGCGATCTCGGCTCACCGCAACCTCCGCCTCCTGGGTTCAGGCAATTCTCCTGCCTCAGCCTCCTGAGTAGCTGGGATTACAGGCACACACCACCAAGCCCAGCTAATTTTTTGTATTTTTAGTAGAGATGGGGTTTCACCATGTTGACCAGGATGGTCTCGATCTCTTGCCCTTGTGATATAATTACTATATTCTATATGAACTATAGTATATCATAATTGTGAGCCATTTTAAAAGCTGCTTCTTTCACTTAATAATGTATTATAACCAACATATGATAACATGCTATAACCTATGTCATAAATGCACTGCAATGACTACATTCTTTACGGCAGTATGTGCACATGCTTAACTAAGTAATGCCTTACTATTAAACATTTAGGTTGTTTATAACATTTTCATGATTATAAATATTAACAATAAACATCCTTTTCATACATTTTTATTTATTAGTTCAATTTTTTCCTTAGGATAAAGCCCAGGAAGGTGACCTACTGAGTGAAATGTATTCTGCATGCTTTCAAGATACCTGGGAGAAGACACCTTGACATCTTCAGTCAAGGCACAGAAAGCCAAGTTTCTGCTCCTGCCAACCTTGAACCTGCTTCTAAATTGTTTTCCCTTATTTCTAAACATACCCATTCTGTAGGTAACAGAGCAAGAATGACCTCACTATTCTGAGGGTTGTTTTTTTGTTTTTTGTTTTTTGTTTTTCCTGAGATGGAGTCTCACTCTGTCACCCAGGCTGGAGTGCGACAGCTTAGTCTCAGCTCACTGCAACCTCTGCCTCCCGGGTTCAAAGGATTCTCCTGCCTCAACCTCCAGAATAGCTGGGACTACAGGCATGTGCCACCACAGCCGACTAATTTTTGTATTTTTAGTAGAGACAAGGTTTCACTATGTTGGCCAGGCTGGTTTCAAAGCTCCTGACCTCATGATTGGACTGCCTCGGCCTTCCAAAGTGCTGGGACTACAGGCATGAGCCACTGAGCCTGGCCAGGGTTTTGTTGTTGTTTTTTTTTTTAATCCAGCATAAGTCTGGCCATATGTCAACACACTAAACATGTATATAGTGGCAGTTCTGATATTTAGCCAGTATGTCGGCTCAATCACTGCAGGCCGTACAAGTTGTTACATTTTTAAATGTTATTCTTATGTAGTGGCATTCTTAATGTCACTAAGGTATATAGCATAAGGCTATTTGGCTCTACACTAAATAACCTCACTTTGTCTGATCATTTTGAATTTTTTTATACAATGGCCATGTTGTCATTTCTTACAACTATCAGAAAGATTATTCTTGGACCAGGTGTGGTGGCTCATGCCTATAATCCCAGCACTTTGGGAGGTCAAGGCCGGCAGATCACTTGAGGTCAGGAGTTCTGGACCAGCCTGGCCAACATGGTGAAATTCCATCTCTACTAAAAATACAAAAATTAGCCAGGCATAGCAGTACACACCTGTAATACCAGCTACTGGGGAGGCTGAGGCGTAAGAATCACTTGAACACTGGAGGTGAAGGTTGCAGCAAGCTGAGATTGTGCCACTGCACTCCAGGCTGGGCAATGGGAGTGAAACTCTGTCTCAAAAAATAAAAATAAATTTAAAAAACAAAAACAGAAGGATTATTCTCATAACCTCAGACTTTTTTTGTTTGTTGCTTCAAAAAGTTACTTGCGGATACTAAAAGGCAGGTTGTTTCTTACAGGAGCCAAAAGAAAAAGTCTTATTAATAAATGTATCTAACCTACATGGAAGTAGAAGACTTTGATGAGCATCATAAGACCAGGTCCCTTAGACTTTTTCCCAAGTTCACTGAGAAAAAAGTTATGGGAACATTTTACAGAATCAAAGTTATTATCTAGGACTTACTTATCTTAAAAAGTCATCCTGGGCCAGGCATGGTGACTCGCGCCTGTAATCCCAGTACTTTGAAAGGCTGAGATGGGCAGATCAACCAAGGTCAGGAGTTCAAGACCAGCCTGGTCAACATGGCAAAACTCCATTCTACTAAAAATCAAAAATTAGCCAGGTATGGTGGTGCGCACCTGTAATTGCAGCTACTCAGAAAGCTGAGGCAGGAGAATCGCTTGAACCCAAGAGGAGGAGGTTGCAGTGAGCTGGGATCACATCACTACACTCCAGCCTGGGTGACAAAGCAAGACAATCACTCAAAAAAAAAAAAGAAGAAAAGTCATCCCATGGAGAGGTTTATGTACAGAGAAAAATCAACAGTAGCCTTAAAAATTTCTATATAAAATGATCATTAGGTGGGGGAAATATATTAGGAAATAAACATATTACGTTAGTTTCACTTACATTATACTTTTGTTTGGGATGGCCTCTACTCCACCTGTCAAAGCATGCTGTTTTCCTAATGATAATTGAATTCCTCCTTGATGTGTTATCTTAACTTTCTCTCCTTAAATTATCTCATTCTTTTTTTCCCCAATTTTCGCCCAGCAGAAAGTCTGTGTACTGTGTATCTAAGTGTGCTATTCAGTAACACATTGCTCTTTGGGTATCCCTAACAAACGAGGTCACCTAAATAAACTTTTCAAATTAAAGCATCCTATTTGAGAGTCAAATTATTTTCTTCAACTTTTTTTAAGAATAAAAAAAAAAAAAAATCTGCAGGCTAGTCTTACAGAAATAGGCTTTAAATGTAACTTGCTTCCAGGGAGATATTCAAGTGAATCTGGCTCATCAAATAGGGAGGAATATGCTTACAGTTTGATTGTTATTCCAAAGGCCATCTGAAGACTCTGTCGCGGTGTCATTCCCATCTGCTTAACAAGAAGGAAATTTAATTAGAATTACAAAAAATATTGAATTCACGTTGCCTTCTGGTGATGAAAAGTTGAAAGATAATATGATCAAATGCTGCAGGCATTGCAAGAGTCATACCAAGTTATTAATGTTGTATTAATTCCTCCTGTAAAGTTGTATTTCTTAACCTTTTTGTCACAGGTTCTTTGAAAATGAACTCCTTTTTTTTTTTCTTTATTAAGAAAATAATGCATGTGCACACAAAGTTTTATCTACTATTTTAGGGTAACCACAAAAGCCCATTCATGGAGTCAGGTTAAGAATGCCATTTAGGCCGGGCGCGGTGGCTCAAGCCTGTAATCCCAGCACTTTGGGAGGCCGAGGCGGGTGGATCACGAGGTCAAGAGATCGAGACCATCCTGGTCAACATGGTGAAACCCCGTCTCTACTAAATATACAAAAAATTAGCTGGGCATGGTGGTGCGTGCCTGTAATCCCAGCTACTCAGGAGGCTGAGGCAGGAGAATTGCCTGAACCCAGGAGGTGGAGGTTGCGGTGAGCCGAGATCGCGCCATTGCACTCCAGCCTGGGTAACATGAGTGAAACTCCGTCTCAAAAAAAAAAAAAAAAAAAAAAAGAATGCCATTTAAAGGCAATCAATACTTTTATGCTATCTAAAAAGCTGTATATGAATGCCCAGAGGCATTACATCCAAAAACCAGAGCCACCCTCTTTAGAATGGACATCACATTGGTTTTATGTTCAGAATGAGTAAAATATACTATAATATGGAAAACAGGTGGCATATAACTCCTGTGTTGTTGCCAGTGTGCTTACACTTTGATCTCAAAGTACTTTAGAAAATATATCAACCACCAGATCAATGTCTATTGTACCATATAAAGATTAAGATTTTATGTAATATATAAGATACATTTCTCTTAGAGTTGAACATTTAAAAATTTCAATGTGTTTTGAAATATCTATTTTGTGGTAAGCAGTATATTCTCAGCTGGGCGTGGTGGCTCAGGCTTGTAATCCCAGCACTTTGGAGTCCAAGCAGGCAGATCACTTGAGGTCAGGAGTTCAAGACCAGCCTGGCCAACATGGTAAGACCCCGTCTCCACCCAAAAATACAAAAAATTAGCTGGGCATGCTGGAACATGCCTGTGGACCCAGCTACTCGGGAGGCTGAGGTAGGAGAATCGATTGAACCTCAGAGGCAAAGGCTTCAGTGAGCTGAGATAGCACCACTACACTCCAGGCTGGACAACAGAGTGAGACCCTGTCCCCCAAAAAAATAAGAGTATATTCTGTTGGCTTTCCTAGACAACTATAGGTGAAACACAGAACTGTCTTCTTACTGAGCATCTACCACATAGTGAGCACTTTACCTTCTAACAACCAATTCCTTAATCTCATTTTTACGGATGAAGAAACACACAGGAAATGGTTGGATGATGATTTCTAATTAACCGACAAGAGACTCTGCTGATAACCTGCACACACATTGCACTTCCGTCAAATGGAAATACTTAGGTCTGTGAAGTTCTCTAACTGATGACAATGCTATAGGCTCAACATGAATAAACTTGGACTAATATCTCCCCAAAATTTACATTATTGTATTTACATTTTACTGCTTCTGAGGCTTCCTAGAAAGCCAAAGGCAAGGTTGGGCACGGTGGCTCATGCCTGTAATGCCAGTGCTTAGCGAAGCTGATGCAGGCAGATCACTTGAGGTCAGGAGTTCAAGAGCAGCCTGGCCAACATGGTGAAACCCCATCTCTACTAAAAATATAAAAAATTAGCCAGGTATGATGGTACACATCTGTAATTCCAGTACTAGGGAGACTGAGACACAAGAATTGATTGAACCCAGGAGGCGGAGATTGCAGTGAGCCAAGATCGTGCCACTGCACTCCAGCCTAGGCAACAGAGTGACACTGTTTAAAAATAATAACAATAGAAAAAGAAAGCCAAAAGCAATATGTAGGTTTATGTAATATAAAGAATCTTGGCTTTGCTTGTGACAGGTATTAAGACCTTAAGTAACAGTTTCAGGAAGAGAATGGGGTGATGCAGAAAAATAGCATAGCCTGGAGTCAGATAAAATTTGAGTTCAATGCTGACAATGTCTGTTAGTAACGTAACTTTGATACTCAAGGTCCTTTTCATACACAGAGGTATATACGTATGTAGGGGTATATAAAGGTTTGTGTGTGTGTGTGTGTGTGTGTGTGTGTGTGTGTGTACAGTAGTGCCCCCTTATCCACAGGGGATATGTTCCAAGATCCTCAGTAGATGCATGAAACCAAGGATAATACCAAACCCTATGCAGACCATGTTTTTCCTATATATATATATACCTACGATAAATTTATAAATTAGGCACAGAAAGAGATTAACAACAATAAATCATATAATAGAACAATTATAAAAATAAACTGCAATAAAAGCTATGGGAATTTAAAAGATATCTCAAGATATCTTAGTATTTTAGAGCCACAGCTGACTGCTACAGAAAAGAAAAACTGCAGATAAGGGGGGAACTATATATTTCTAGCTAAAGAACCGAATGAACTACAACCTATTAATAGTACACAGCCCATCAAGTTGTTACAATTAAATTAGATGATGCATGTAAAGTGGTTGGCACTAAGCTATTATTATTATATAATGGAAAGAGGACTGGGGAGGAGGGAAGGATAGATACGATGCAATGCACTTTGCAAATATCATATACTCCAATCATCCAGAGAGGAATGTTCAACAATTTGCCTGCGGGCACACAACTAGTAACTCATAGCTGAAATGGGAGTTGTGTGTCTCCAGAGCAGATTTATAGGGCCTCCTCAATCTGGCAATACCACTAAATATGGCCTGTCTTGAAAGAATTAAACAAGATAATATATGCACTTCCTGGCACATACGTCTGTCAAAGGTGGGTAGTGGGCCATATGATAACCTAAATCCTTTCCAGACCTAATATTCCTTGCTTCCATGAGGCTTTAGGCAACTGAGGGCCAACCAGGCTCAGTGAGAACTTGGCCCAAGAGCCTTGGATCCACCGCCAAAATGGCAGCAGCCTCACGAGTCCTGGGGATACAGCTGCTCCACTGTCTGTTCCGCCCTGGAAAACTCTACCGTGACCAGGTTCCACTGACATGGTATTGCAGAGAATGATTCCCCACTCCTATTTTCTTCCTCCTTACACCATCAAAGAGGGGGGTGCAGCTGCTCCTACTGCTGTTACCTTGTGTTTTTATCTATTTCCATTTTGCTTTTGTGCCTAGAAACAGTTTGCGCCAAGGATTACACTTCCAAAACCAAATGTCACCATTATCTAATCCCAATTGAATGAGTCCCTCTGTGAATCACACTGCAGGTCCATTTTAAATTAACCAGCTACCAGGAATGATTGGCAAAAACTGTAGGCCATGTGGGCTGGGAAGCAGCTGCCTACAGATTGGCAGCTCCTGAGTACAATGAGTCATACACACAAGGAGTCCTGCAAGGCATGACCTTGCTTAGACGCCACACAAGCACACATAACCAGCTCAGCATCACAGAGGAGCTCAGCATAGGGCACTCCCGAGAGCTTTCCACTAAGGGGAACCAGGAGAGTTGGCTAGGAAAGATGACAGGTTTCAGCATCACCCTCCTCCATCACAAGGAAAGACAGGTCAATTTTCCATTTCCAAGGAGCCTCTAAGAGGCCTGCTCCGGCTTGGGAGAATACTATGGATTGTTTGGATTAGAGAAGCAGGATCTCAGAGGGGTATGCCTCTTTGATGCTGGTGTGGGTGTCCTCAACCCATCTGTTTTAGTCTGTTCAGGCTGCTATGATAAGATAGCTTAGAATGGGTAATTTAAACAGAAATTTATTGCTCACAGTTCTGGAGGCTGGGTAGTCCAAGATCAAGGCACAGGCTCATTACTCAATACGGTGAGGGTCCTCCTCCCTGTAGATGATGTCTTCTATTTGCTTTCATATGGGGGAAAGGGCAAACAAACTCCCTTGGGCCTCCTTTTCTCTAACTAATTAATTTGTTTTTTCTTTCCCATTCAGAAAATGGTACTTTGGGCCTTTTTTTTGTTTGTTTCTTTAAAATCTGTTTTATTAACATTCAATTAATGGATAATTTCTTTTTATCATACAGTTCATTTTCTTAGAAAGGTGTGGTGGCTCATGCCTGTAATCCCAGCACTTTGGAAGGCTGAGGCAGGCGGATCACAAGGTCAAGAGATGGAGACCATCCTGGCTGACATGGTGAAACCCAGCCTCTATTAAAAATACAAAAATTAGCTGGGTGTGGTGGCATGAGCCTGTAATCCCAGCTACTTGGGAGGCTGAAGCAAAAGAATAGCTTGAACCCAGGAGACGGAGGTTGCAGTGAGCCAAGATCACACCACTGCAGTCCAGCCTGGTGACGAAGTAAGACTCTGTCTCAAAAAAAAAAAAAAGCTCTGGATATTTGGGGCTTTTATATAAGCATTGATTCCATCATGAAGGCGGGGCTCTTATGATCTAATCATGTCCCAAAGGCCCCAGCTCTTAATATTTGCACTGGGGATTAGCTACCAACATGAATTTGGGGGTGTGGTATTATGAGATTACATGTACATATATAGAAAGACAGACGTCTGTGCATGGTTCCTGGCTCATAATTCCCATAGCCCCAGTTATGGTCTTCTGTTATGATGATAAATATATTTGACCTCAGAAAAGAATCTTTGACCTTCTCCTGCTCTCCTTCCACCTGACAAGGCAGATTTAATTTCCCCTGCCTTTCTGATTGTTGGTCAGAAGACTCTTCCCAGAGTGCATCTTTCCCTGTGCCCCTGGGGGATGGAATGTTGATGTCTCCAAGTTTCCATAAAAACCCAAGAAAGGCCGGGTGCCGTGGTTCATGCCTATAATCTCAGCACTTTTGAGAGGCCGAGGTGGGCGGATCACCTGAGGTCAGGAGTTCGAAAACAGCCTGGACAACATGGTAAAAACCCATCTCTACTAAAAATGCAGAATTAGCCAGGCGTGGTGGTGCGTGCCTGTAATCCCAGCTACTCGGGAGGCTGAGGCAGGAGAGTCACTTGAACTTGGGAGTGGAGGATCGAGTGAGCCGAGATCATGCCACTGCACTCCAGCCTCGTGACAGAGCAAGACTCTGTCTCCAAAAAACCCCAAGAAGACTAGGTTTGGGGATCTTCCAGATAGCTGAACACTTGGAGGTTCCTGGAAGGTAGAGTTCCCAAGGAAGGGCATGGAACCTCTGCATCCCTTCCCCTACACCTCATCCTGTACATCTCATCACCTGTATCCTTTGCAATATCCTTTATAGTAAACGGTAAACATAAGTGTTCCCCTGAGTTCTGGAAGCCACTCCAGGAAATTAATAGAACCCAAAGAGAGGGTTGTGGGAAACCTAACTTGAAACTGGTGGGCAGAAGTTCCAGAGACCTGGACTTGTAACTGCTGTGTGTGGTGGGGGTGGGAAGGGCAATCTTGGGGACTGAGCCCCCAACCTGTGACCCTGCATGACCTTCCTTGGATGCCACACGAGGACCCGCAGCCAGCTCAGCATCAAAGAGGAGCTCAGCATAGGGCACTCCCAGAGTTGGCCACTAAGGGGAGCAAGGAGAAATAGCTGGGAAAGACGTGATCTTTCCTGTGAAATCTGACCCTCTCTCCAGGTAGATAGTGTGAGAATTGAAATGGACACACAGCCGGTGTCCACTGCTTGATGCGTGAAGAAAAAACTCCTCCACACATTCAGCCACAGAAGTCTTGGTCTGAGTTGACGCTTGTTGTCGAGGTGGTGTGAGAACAGAGAGAAAACCCAGTTTGGGAGTTTTCCCTAAATAGCCAGAAAATAAGCATTCAAACCGCAGCACCATCTGAGAATGCTCATGTAAATACAAACTTGATGAGGCAGTGGAAGCCTCCTGGTACTGTTTAGGGTCTGGGATTTATCAGAAGCGTGGGGTCTGGTGTTTGATCTAAACACCAGAGGGCTGGATTTAATTGTTTTTAAGGCCCTGGCCCAAGGAATCAAGTCAAAATAATACGTTCGGATTCAAGACTGGTTGACTTGATTTCTAAAAACAAAGTAATATGCATGTGGATGTTTCCAAATCACATAAGCCACCTGGGCCGATCAGGCATTTGGATTCTTGATGTTCTAAGAAATAGTGATAATAGCTACCGTTATGTTTATCACTTACGTCCTGTAACTATGTCCCAACTCTTTCATCCCATTTGATTCTCACAAGCATTCTACAAGATCATGGTATTACATCCTTTTTATAAATGACAAAACAGCGCGCTGCAGTGGCTCATGCCTGTAATCCCAGCACTTCGGGAGGACAAGGCAGGTGGGTTTCTTGAGCTCCGGAGTTTGAGACCAGCCTGGCCAACATGGTGAAACCCCCTCTCTACTAAAACTACAAAATTACCCAGGTGTGGTGGCACATGCCCGTAATCCCAGCTACTCAGGAGGTTGAGGCAGGAGAATCAGTCTCAAAACACACAGACACACACACACACGACAAAACATTCAGAAAGGGTAGCTATTTGTACAAGTCAAATGACAAATCTGAGTGGCTGGTGTTTGGCACTTCAAGTCAGATCTGTCATATTCCAGAGCATGTGCCCTCAACAAAGTCAATGGTTCTCAAGGTTTGAATGATCCCAGATGTTCAGGAAAGAGAGTGCGGTCACCTGTTGTGTAAGAGGACAATGGTGAGCTGATGGGTTGTGTCCTTGTCACTTCCTCCAGTGTTGTAGTTTCTGCTGGCAGAGGCATGAAAAGAATGGAAGAATTTTTCCATTTGTGGAGGAAAATTTGCATGCCAAGAAAAATAAAGAACAAAACTAGAATCAGGAATTACCATCAACTTTCTACGGGGCCTTTCCCCAGCCTTCCACAGTGGGCGTGCAGGGCTCTCACCCACCCACTTCCGAACCTTTCAGCTCCTCTTAGAAATATATTCTAAGATGGCCTTCAGGCATTGCCCTGCTTATTTCATGTATTTATTTATTTCATTATTGTCCTAGCTATTTCATTAACACAAGGAAATGTGATCTAGATAATGTTCTAGATAGTCTTATCAATATATAAGATTAGTCCACACTTTCTATACTCCCAGGTTCCTTCTAAACACACAAAGCCAACAACAGGGCATTTTATGTCGAACACCCAATTAAGCTTTTTCATGCAAGTGATATTTCGCTTTCAGAAAACAGGGGCTGGGAATTTGCACGAACATGCCCTACCTGCTTCACAACAGCCCCATTCTGGATTTCCCAGCCTCACGCAAGTTCGATTATCCACACATCCAGTAACTAACAGAATAGACACAATATTAATTCCCTGAAGTCTCTTAAAGCTGACAATATCGCCCAGTGTTAGCCTTGGTAATGATTTGCAACCCTAAAGGTAAGGTTCCTGGCAGACCCTCACCCCAGCTCCTTCCACATCAGGATTCTCGTCATTCCTTAGGGGTGATTGCCTGTGTTTCCTGACTCATCTTCCACTTCTCACTGTAGAGCTTCCATTAGGAATTCTCCAGCTCAGGGCCACATTTCCCTTTATTTCCCATCAGATATCTCACTTTATTTGCAAAGTGGATCACTTGCCTCTTTACAAAGCCTTTACATGATTCCCTGATCTTAGAGCACCACAGAAATATAGTCAATTAGTGATGGTGACTAGATGAGAATTCCCAAAGCTGGATTTTCTTTATTGCCTTGCACTGGTGTGTTTTTCCTTCCCCACCACAGTCTCCATAACTTCACTTTTCAACATCGCTTTTTTTCCAGTTCTCAACTGTTTTCCTGTCTTCCTCTAGCGCTCAAACCTGTAAGAGGATGTGGCTCTTCCAGGACAAAAAACAGAACAACCCAAGAGAGTCATGTGACCAGTCTGTACCCAATTTAGCTCTGTCCAAAGGCCTCTTGAGCTTAACTGCTGCTCCTACAACCATACATACAGTTGTTCCCTGGATGTTTTAGGCTGCAAGCCGGTACCAGAGGCGCTGAGCAGGGAGGTTTGTATGCAATGATAAATGTCCCTGCATTCAATTTGCTCCAGGGTTCTCTCATTCTTGGGCTGTAATGTTCAACTCTAAACTCAAACTCTTTAGAAAACTATCCAGATAAGAATAAGCCTCAATTGATACCATCCCTCAGGTTATAGACTATAAACCAACTCTTAGGAGAAAGGCAACTTTCTCCCAAATCTCAGCTTTAAATGAAGTCAGTGGCTTAGGCATGTCCTCCAAAACAAGTCGACTAATCCATCCACTTAGCAGACACAAGCTAAGCATTAAAAACAAAAGCACTGAGAAAGTCTAACAGACTCTTTAGTGTGTACTGCTGCATGGCAGAAAACGGTTTTTCTTACAAACTTTTATGGCTCTAAAATCCAAGGTGTGACCTAACTAACACGCTCTCTTCCAAATGGAGCTGCTAGCCCAATCCTTCAGATGCTCCTGGTTAAATACACACACAGTTCAATAAGAATCAAGGGAAATCAATAGGTTCCATCAGATTTTTCTGGCTAAGAGGTTGTGATATTTGATACTCCTCAGAATCCAGAGCCACCCTAAGGGGTCAATGGGTTTTGAGGGCTTTGAGAATCTCCACTGAAAGTTATCTTTTAAATCCCCGAAAGGCAAGATTTGAACCTAAACTTGCCCTCAGAATGACAAGCGATTTCCCCACCTGTAAGTCAAGTTATCCTCCATTTGTATTAAATCTAATATCTTCTTTACAGGGAATTTGAAGTACCAACTATATGGCCTGAATTGAAAAAAATAAACATGTACATTCTAAATCCCTAAAGCCCTTAAATCCAATGTTACTTTTTCCTAAGTATAAATCGCACCGTTTGCAATTTCCACTGTACCTACATAAGTTAAAGCACCTTTGAAGCAAAAATATGCAAGTCATTGACTGCCCCAAAGACAGTGTGGTTGTTTAAGGGTTTTTTCAGTGAAAAATGTTAGATCAGGGCAAATTCATCTAAACATAAAACTCAGCGCTCATGATAGGAGGCATGACCCAGTAGTTAAAAGTACGGTAGTTAAAATTCATACCCAGTAGTATGAATTTTCTTGAAAGTTGCAGGGAAAAAAAAAGCTGACACAGTTACAGTATCTGCAGCATGGCCGAACTGTCATTTCCTTCCCTTTTTAAAATCTCAAATCAGCAGTTCATGACTTTTTTACTTTCATCTTTCGAAGCAATAAAAGCCAGGCTCCCTCCCGAGGAGCTCTGGGTTGCTGTGGTGGGGCCTGTCCCTTCTCCAGCTCTGGTACCATCCCCATCCCGTCTGTAGGTGGCGTCCCATTCCAGGGTGGATTAAAAGTTCTGAACGTTCTAGATGATTATAAGGAAGTAGCATCCTTGGGGGAATGGCCGAGCAGCTTGCAAGCTCACAGTGATCGTGCCTTGCCCCTTCCTGTCGTCCATACCAGTGGCCGGCAAGTTAACCAGGAAACCGGCTTTTTTTCTTTTTTGAGATGTGGTCTCATTGTATTGCCCAGGCTGGTCCAGAACTCCTGGATTCAATCCACCCTCCCACCTCGGCCTCCCAGAGTCCTGGGATTAGTGGCATGAGCCACTGCACCCAGCAGAAACACTCCTACACACCAGTAGCCTCCCACCCAGGGCCTGACTCCTAGGCTGCTGCCGTGGGAATGACTTTCAGGGAATTCCTCTGGTGCAGACTCAAGGTTCCTCCGTGCTGGCAAATGTCTGCTTTTGCAGGTGTTTTGATTTGGGGAAATGGTCAGAATACTCAGAGCTGAGTTTGAAGGTTAGGAGAAAGATACTTTCTGGCAGGTGTGTAAATTGGTTCTGAGGGCCCATCTGTCCCATGGCTTACTGCTTCTGGGGGTGGCCGCCATCCTGCAGGGAAGAGCAGACAGTGAAAGTGTGTCTGCAGTGGCAGCCCCTGAGGTCAGTGTGGCTGACCCCTCTCTCTGCAGTTCATTTCCACAGACCCCCCCCCCCGGGGTCACAGCTCGTGACACCTCCACCTGGGGATGACATCAACTCCGATGACTCCGACGATATCATTATCGTCCTGTCTCTGCCCACGAAGAAGAACTTTCCAGTCTAGGTCTCCGTCATTGCCTCCATGCCGTGATGGCAATGCAGCAGAGGACACAGGAACTACAAGTGGAAAGATAATTTATCGTGTTAGGAGAAGAAGGATGATACCTACTTAACACCTCAATATCTGCGTCGCTTCTCTTTCTCTTTGTGCTTTTGTTTGTTGAAGGAATCCCAAATGCCTTTGCTTCATTCTCTGGGAAGGGCCAGTGGCTCGCATCTCCTCATCTCCAGCTGCAGCTCGGATGGTGGTTTTTCAGTGCCAACAGACACGTCTTCCATGAACTCGGGGCCACCAGGGAGCCTGTTCTCCAACAGCACCTTGCAGCCTGCCCACAACCTTTACCTGTGAGGAGCTGCTATCAGCAGCCAGCGCCAACGCCACCCCCCTCTTCCTGGTGACACCCTCAACAACCAGGATTTGCCCCCGATCTCGGCCCAGTAGGCCAGGCAGACGTGCCCCACTATGCCTTAGGAAGATGTGAGACCAGCTTCCCCCATCCCCACGGAAAAACACGGCCCGTCTCAAGCCAGTGAGGAGCTAAAGACACCCAGGTCCCCACATGAGCTTACTCCACGCCCCAGCCCCTCACACCATCCTTTCCCCTGTCACCCTCCCTGCCCCCTGGAGAACTGCCCTCCAGAGCTGCCCTTCCCAGGAAGGAGTCTGGTGGATTCTGTCACTGCGTAGATGAAGACTTTTTAAATCCCAAATTATAATCACAAAAGCTGCATCACACGCACTTTTGAGAGCAGCAGGGCGATGTCTGTTACCAAGCCCAGCAGGTGGCTTGGCCTCTGTGGGGTCACCCAGGGGAAGAGGAGAGGAGAGTGAGGAGGCAGGCCCGCCATTCAAGGGAGAGCACAGGCTCTGATGGGGCACGTCGCATCTGCTGCCTGGGACAGTCCCCATCACCCCATGTGTGTGGCCTCTGCACTCACAGCTCCACAGCTGGGCTTGGTGTGCAGAGCCCTGGGAGGCAGCAGCTGTAGAGGCCTAAGAGGGAGGTCCTGGGGTAAGCACACAGTGTCCATGCCCATCTCTTGCTTGTGTGTGAGATTAGCCCTTGCTAGGGCATCAAGAGGAAGAGCCTTAGACCTGGGTGGGCCTTCAGGGGCATCTAGACCCCTGCACAGCCCAGGCCTGGTGTCCAGATCTCCACAGCACCCTTGTCAGGACCCCTGCCAGGGCTGGCCTCAGTCTCAGGAGAGACCAGCGTTAGAAAGCCCCTCCTTACACAGCAGATGCCTTCTCCCAATGCTTCTTTTCATGGAAACAGTCTAATCCCTGGGTGCCTCTTCTGCAGCATGGCAGCCTTCTGAGTCACCCCTGGGAGCTCAGCCTGAGCCTGGGGCCTCCTCCACGTCGGTCAGAAGGCTGATGGCCCCAACACAGTGTCTTGTGGAAGGGAGAGAGGAGCTTCGAAAGTCCACCTGCCCTGTGGGAGGAGGACACAGGTGTGCCCAGCCCAACCCATCCTCTCCCAGTCACTCAGCGATGGGGCCACCATCAAAGTGGAGGACGAGCTCCACCCTGCAGTTTGCTGCCTGGCCCGTCTCCACGTAGGCTCTGTTTCTACAGTGGGTGGAAACGAGTCAGCCAAGGGTCTAGCTTGTGCACGTGTTTTCCTCATTTGGACTGTGAGTTGCCAAAACCATTTTTTTTCCACTGAACTGGCTGATAACTTGACGGACTGTGTAACTGACACAGGCCCTCTGTAGACCCCTGCCCTCATCACTCTACCCGCCCAGGTCCACTCCCTGAGGCGCCGTCCCGGACCTCCCTGCCTGACGGCTCAAAGCTGCAGGTCCTAGGAACCAGTCCACCCTCGAAAGCCCTCAGAAGGTGAGGTACCTGCATGTTCGCTGGGGGAGATCCTCCGTTCTATGGCAGCTGCTCCCTCTCATTAAACCAAGGTATTTCTGCAGGACATGCTCACTCTTGGGAGCCAGTGGCCTAGCGCTTTGGGTTATGGGTATGGAGAGGGCATCCCTGCCTCGGGGTTGATGGAGAATAGTCCGTAGGTAAACGGCCGTGTCCTCCTTTGGTGCAGCAGGGCTGCTCTGTTAAAAGCCAGTGTCCGTCTTGAAGCTCCCTGGGTAAAACAATGCATTCTGAAGCCTGTGACCAGCTGATGCCGTGTCCAGTGCTGGTCACCAGGCCCCTTTGCTGGGGACAGCCCATCGGGCTATTCTGTGATTCTGGAACCCTGCAGTGTAGTTCTGTGCCATGGAGACAGCACCAGGCAGACAGGCCTCCTTGCCTGCTGCCCCAGGTCCTGGGGGCCAGGGATTCTGGCCCTGAGGGGCCTTAGGAGGGGAAGAGGAGCCCATGGAGTCGGGGAGCAGCCCGAAAGCCTTGAACTCTTCCTTCCTGGGGTGGGGTACTCCGAAAGACAAACCTCTGGTTCCTGTCCCTGGTCGTGGAGCTGCCCGTCGCGACGCCTGCCCAGGCTGCCGAGCCGTGGGCAGGGCCTAGCCATGGGGGAGGGAACTGGGGCGGGGCCTAGCCATGGGAGGGGTGCTGGGGGCGGGGCTGAGCCTTGAGAGGTACGAAGTGTGGGCGGGGCCTAGCCGTGGGAGGGATAAGCTGTGGGTGGGCTGAGGCTTGGGAGGCGTGGGAGTCATGGGCGGGATGAACTATGGGTGGGGCTGAGCCATGGGCGGGGCCAGGCTGCTGAAGCCAATGGTGGAGTGGGGTGGGCAGAGGTGCTCGTGGAGCTGCTGGCAGGGCCTAGAAGGCAGGTGAGAGGATAACTCCCGGGGAGACTGGAAGTGGAGGGTGAGTCCCCAAGAAAGGGACCTTTGCCCCAGTGTTAAGTGCCAAAGCAGGCCCAGGTGTGAGCACTTCGGGGTAGACTTTGGTGGCCCATGTTGCTCATGGTGTCCTGATTGTCACTGCAACACCTCCACATCACCTTGAACTTAAAGAACAGCAGCAAAGCTGTATCTGCTAGCAGAGGCTGTTGGGTAGTCCAGCTTTAAAAGAACATAGTCTTTCTCCAACCCATGTCCTTTAAACAAGCAGCCACAGAAGATGTCACAGTCTCCAGGGCCTGGCCCCACTGTGTTGACAGCAGCCACACCTGTTGAGCAGACACTGCTGAGACTGAAGCTAGCCCCGGTGTAGGGGGCTGGTGAGCTGCAGGCGCAGCTGACCCGAGGTGCACCCTCCCCTTAGAGGCCTGTCCCCAACTCCTCCCCTAGAGTCCTGTTCCTGCCACTTAGGGACCTCAGCAGAGGCATCAGCTGGAGAGCTCCAGGGACATCCCTGGAGATACGGGAGGCTCTCCTGACACAGGGCCCAGCTCTTACAAGGCCTTTGTAGGACCCTGTCTCCCCAGCATGTCCTGCTCATCCAGGAGAGGGAGAACAAGGAGGAGGGCCCAGGCTCAGAAGCCAGGGATAGACTGCCGACGATTACCAAACAGTCCAGGCATTGCCACGATCCTCAGTGTCCCTTGGTTCATATCACCCACCAGGCACAGCTGCAGAGAGAGTGCGGGGAGGGGCTGGGACCAAACAGGCCAGAAACCAACAGAAAGGAGGCAGAAGTGAAGTGGGTGTGCCTGGGGCACAAAGCCAGCCCCGGCAGGAGTTCAGTGGAGTCCTACAGCCAGTTCCTGTGCAGACTGTGATGCCAGAGAGGCATGCAGCCTCTGGGCAAGTGGGGAGAGGGCTTGGGTGGTCCCCACAAGGGAGAAGAGGTGGAAGGGCCAGAGAAGACCACCAAGACCACTGTTCCCCCAGGCCCCAGGTGAGCGACCTGATGTGAGACTAGCGGGCAGAACCAAGCAGGGCTAAACTCCAACCCAGGGCCCCGTGTTGGACAAAGTAGCCTTTTCTTTGCTCGTTTGTCTATGTATTAAGAAGAGACTAAAATAGCCAAACGACGCTGGTCGCATGTGCTGGCTGTCGTCTGTCTGCTGAATGTCTATTTTTGTACAGACCATGCCCTTGATCCCTCAGATGGATGAGAAACCCCCTTCCTTGCAAAAAAGCCAGTTGAATTAGGAAAAGATAGTCCAACCTAGAGCTCAGATCTACCAAGATAAGTACAGCAAAGCCTTCCTGTATTTTTGAGGAATAAAAACTTGCAGAAAGTACCAATAACCTTCAAGATCTGAATGAGATTCTATTATAACCTGTCCAAATGATTGCAAAATTCCTCCTTTGGTTTTGGAAGAAGTGTCTGCTCACATGTGACTCAGAGATTCTCTGAGAACCAGGGAGTTGACACACAAACCTCACCATGGGTCCGAGCCAGATATTTCTCAAGGCTCACACCTCGCCAAGCTCCCAAAGGCCTGCCGGCAGCGCCTACGCCGTGCCAACAACCCTGTCTGGTACACACCACGGCTGGGTAAGCACCCTTAAAAGCGAGACAAATAACGTCTGGAAACCGAAATGTGAAACTGTCAAGATGGCTTAGGAGAGGAAGGAGTGGACCCTGCCGGTCTTTGGCATTTTGTGTTTAGGATTATTCTAATTTTATACATAATTTATAGGCAGATCCTTTGGAAGGGATAAGGTTTTCATTCTTGTACAACTCGTTATTGGCTTTTAAATAAAAAGTTGTTTTTCAGGGTGCCTTGATTGCCCTATAAAGCCTTTTAATTACCTCCAGGTGTGTTCCCGCTGCACGTACTCAGGCTGCACAAATGATCTGCTTCAGAAACCCCACTTCTCTGGGCTTCTGGCATTTTGCTATGGTCACAGTGCCGGCTAGGGGTTGGAGAGCCAGCTGCGGGGACGGGTCCCGCTGCCAGGTCCCTGTCATGCATGAACTGGGATGCAACTCTTGACACCCGGGTCCCTCGTGGAATGTCTGTTCCTTAGATACAAGTGAGCACACAAAAATGTTTGTGCGTGAGGGAGTTATTTCTCCAAATTTAATTTCATTTTTGTCTCAGGAGCAGGGAAAGAATAATTTACTGAGGAATCAAACACAGATGGGAATGACCAAAAGGAGCTGATACCTGGGTTTTGTTTTTCAATATTTTGTTGCATAGAACAAGGTGCATCTGTGGCTTTGTGTGCCTGTGGCTGCCTGCCCTGGGGTGCTAAATCCTGGGCAGAGTTTGTCTGAAGCCTCCACAGTTACTGCGGTTGGCTCTGGCATTTGCCCAAACCCATTTTCTATCGTTCTCATATATATGTGTGTGTGTGAAAATATATGTATATTTTTTCATTGAGATAGGGTCTTGTTCTCTTGCCCAGGCTGGAGTGCAGTGGTGCAACCATAGTTCACTGCAGCCTCAAATTTCTGGGGTTAAGTGATCCTCCTGCCTCAGCCTCCAAAGTAGCTGGGATTATAGGTGTGCACCACCATGGCCAATCACTTCTTTTAAATTTTTCTGTAGAGATGAGGGTCTTGCTAAGTTGCCCAGGCTGGTTTCGAACTCCTGGCCCCAAGCGGTCCTCCCATCTCAGCCTCCCAAGTGGCTGAAACTGCAGGTGTACACCTGGCTAACCTAAAATATTGGGGGGAGGGGCACAGTAGCTCACGCCTGTAATCCCAGCACTTTTTTTTTTTAAAATAAAGACGGGGTTTCAGCATGTTGATCAGGCTGGTCTTGAACTCCCGATCTCAGATGATCCGCCTGCCTTAGCCTCCAAAGTGCTTGGATTACAGGCGTGAGCCACTATGCCCGGCCAATCCCAGCACTTTAGGAGGCTGAGGCAGTGAATCACCTGAGGTCAGAGGTTCAAGGCCAGCCTGGCCAACATGGTGAAACCCCGTCTCTGCTAAAAATACAAAAATTAGCCAGGCATGGTGGTGGGCACCTATAATCCCAGCTACTTAAAAGGCTGAGCCAGGAGAATCACTTGAACCCGGGAGGTGGAGGTTGCAGTGAGCCATGGCACTCCAGCCTGGGCGATGGGAGCAAAACTCCATCTCAATCAATCAATCAATCAATTTTTGGTAGAGATAGGATCTTGCTGTATTGCCTAGGCTGGTGTACAATGCTTGGCCTCAAGCGATCCTCCTGCCTTGGCCTCCCAAACTGCTGGAATTTCAGGTGTGAGCCACTGTGCACTGCCCTGAGCCCATCTTTACACCTCAATGGCTTGTGCTGGCAAGCGGTTCATTTGAAAATTTGCGCTTTGCAGAGGAACTGGTAGGACCTGAAGGAGCCTGTGGCAATGGAGAGCATGGTGTACCAGGCACCCACCCATTGCAAGCTCGCAGCCACAGCAGCCGCTAGCTGTGATGTCCCCGAGGGGTTCAGACCCAGCGGCAGAGAAGAGACAGCCTGTGGGGGCTTGCCAGCTAGAGCTGGCGAGAGGAGGGGGGGAAGGTCCAACCTCGGGCCTCCACCTGCCTTGGGCAGTGGTATGGATAGACAGGGACATATGTGAGCGCAGACATCCGTGCACACAGGCACAGGCACACAGGGAGAATCTCTCTTCCTCTTCCCCATCCGGCTCCCTGGTTTTCGGTGCACACGCTCAGTGCATGTGGGCCTCCTCAAAGACCAAGTGAGAGTCACCACAGGCTCTTGCCAAGATAATTTTAAATATGAGATTCCTCCAAGGTTCCCAGGGGACATAGGAAAAAAAAAGAAGTAAGCCTCTGAATCTCTCGCTCCTTTCAGCACTGCTGTTGGGCTTGGAATATGAATGATGGGCTGTGGAACAGGGTGGTGTGTCTCTGCGTGGGTGCCAGCTAATGGACTTCCGCCAGCACCTTCCCATTGGTTCCCGGGAGCCAGGCCCAGTGACAGCCCCAAGGGCCAGCCCCATTAGATGGGGCCTGCCTCAGGAACCTGAGGGACGTTTCCATGGTGCTGTGTCCCTTTCTGAATAAGAGGAGGGGGTGCCCCTGAGCTATTCGTTAATGAAGCCCCAGAGCGGCCTGCGATTCAAAGGAGAGGGTGCAGCGCTGCCAGGGCTCCCGTGGCTGCCATTCATGGCAGCCCAGTCTGGGGGCTTTCTCCCCACCAGCTCTTCCCTTCCCAGGCCAGGCTTGCAAAGGAATGAAAGCAGGGAAGGGTGTGAGTGGGTGGGCCAGGGCACAGCTTTCATAAGTTATACAAAGGGTGCTGGTTCCCGCTCCTTGCAGCCTCGCCCGCCCCATTCCCTTCTCATACCCACCTCTCCCCCAGCACGCTGCGGGCTGCAGGCTCCACTCCACCTACTGTCCCCTCCCTCCCAATTCCCCCCCCGCCGTCCCGTTCATCGCCCACCCCAGCTTCCCTCGCCCAGGAGTAGGCCCTTCCCTCCTCATCACTCCTCCCTGCTTTCGGGATTTCTCTTCTGCCCTGGCACTCAGCCCTACCCTCTGCCTGTTGAGTGTAGGTGTCCCCACGGCTCCGTCCCCAACAGCCCGACCTGCCTGGATCATCTACTGGACGTCTGCACGTTCATATCTCAGATGCCTCCAATTCAGCTTAGCTCGGCTTCAATTTACTTTCACCCGTGACCCTGCTCCCTGTTCAGTAAATGACATACAAGCCGCATGGTTGTCCCTGCCAGAAATCCGGAGATCATCCCTGTCTCCCTCAACGTCCTCGACAGCCCCCCACAGGGGCTACCCCCTCAGCAGCCCTCAACTCTGCTGCCATATCTGTAGTGAGGCCAGGTGACCCCACCAGACAGTTCCCACGGGCTCCAAGACAAAACCCACCTCCTGAACATTCCAGACTACTGCATGTCCACACACAAAGACACGTGCACACACAAAACACCACAATGCAAACGTACATGCAAACACATGCACATGAGCAGACATATGCCCACAAACCCATGTACATACACACAACAATGCAAACGTACTTGAAAATGCACACTGCACCAACGTGCACGTGCACATACCAATGCCTGCACTCTCAGATATACGCACACAACACACCTCGCACAGACATGCACACAAACACACATGTACAAATACATACAAACGCACATGCAAACATACAAACATGCATCCAAAAACATACCTGCAAGGACAAACATACACAAACTTACACCCCACATACACATAGACACAGGCACATGCAAACACACATACATGACAACAGACATACTCATGAAACACACATGCACACACACAAATATGCACACACATGCAAACACTTGAGGCTCAAGCTGGCTTGAGCTATGTCAGCCTCCACTTTTCAAAAAAAGAGACTGCAAAAAAAAAAGAAAACCCATCTAGCCAACTTGAAAGTATGCGTTTTTTTTTTTTTTTTTTTGAGAAGGAGTCTTGCTCTGTCGCCAGGCTGGAACACAGTGGCACTATCTCGGCTCACTGCAACCTCCACCTCCTGGGTTCAAGTGATTCTTCCACCTCAGCCTCCCAAGCAGCTGGGACTACTGGCGAGTGCCACCATGCCCAGCTAATTTTTGTATTTTTAGTAGAGTTTCACCATGTTGGCCAGGATGGTCTTGATCTCTTGACCTCATGATCCGCCCACCTCAGCATCCCACAGTGCTGGGATTACAGGCATGAGCCACCGTGCCCGGCCAAAAGTATGAGCTTTTGATAGGTGTGGACCAAAGTGTCAAATGCCAACTTGTTAATAATTATTATGTTAATCTGGTCACACATCACGAATATTTAAAGTCATATCTAAAAGAAAACACTGATCTAGGAGCATGCCTCTCATGGCACTCCTGAGACTTGGCTGGACCGGCAGCTTAGTCCCCGTGTTTTGGATCCTCTCACACAGTTTTCCATGCACGACATCCTCCACTTCCAGCTAAGCTGTTTGCAATTCACGTGACAATTTAGAAATCTGCTCGTGCCGAGCGCAGCAGCTCCCTCCTGTAATCCCAGCACTTTGGGAGGCCGAGGCGGGGAGATCCAGTTTGAACCCAGGAGTTTAAGACCAGCCTGGGCAACATAGTGAAACCCCCTCTCTACAAAAATACAAAAATGAGCTGGGCATGGTGGTGTGCACTTGTAGTCCCAGCTACTTGGGAGCCTGAAGTGGGAGGATTGCGTGAATCCGAGAAAATACAGGTTGCAGCAAGCCGAGGTCATGCCATTGTACTCCAGCCTGGGTGGCAGAGCAAGACTCTGTCTAAAAAAAGAAAAAAGAAAAAACAATCTGAACAGGACATGCCATGATTGGAGCATTTCTCCCCAAGCCACGAGTGCTGGTGTGCTGGACCTGAGGCTGGTGGTCCAGGTGGTAGTGGTTTTATGAACACATTTCAAAATGTAACCGCTGGTTGTATTTTTTTTTTTTTGAGACAAAGTTTCACTCTTATTGCCCAGGCCAGAGTGCAATGGCATGATCTCAGCTCACCGCAACCTCCACCTCCCGGGTTCAAGCGATTCTCCTGCCTCCGCTTTCCCAAGTAGCTGGGATTACAGGCATGCACCACCACGCCCAGCTAATTTTGTATTTTTAGTAGAGATGGGATTTCTTCATGTTGGTCAGACTGGTCTTGAACTCCCAACCTCAGCTGATCCGCCCGCGTCCGCCTCCCAAAGTGCTGAGATTACAGGTGTGAGCCACTGCACCTGGCCCCACTGGCTGTATTTTTAAAGTTGCATTTTAAAGGCTGATTCACAAAGACAGCCAAAGCTTGCAAATGTGAGGTTCTACTCCTGGAAAGATGACTAATCTGAGTTAAATTTATTTCTGACATCTTTTTAGTGGATTCTGCCAGGCGACCTCCATACATATTGCTCCCAGCTTTCAGACTCCGCCCTCAGTTCCCAAGTAGTGTGTGGCTGTCAGAATAAACTAGTTGAGAGCCTCATGCTATGAGATACTTTCTAAGGACTTAAGAAGGCAGCACCCTCTTTTCTGAAGGATACTTTTACATTTTTATTTCTGTATTTTTTTTTTTTACAGCTAAGATCTTGCACCCCAGGCTGGAGTGCAGCGGCACAATCACGGCTCACTGCAGCCTTGAACTCTTGGGTTCAAGTGATCCTCCTGCCTCAGCCTCCTGAGTAGCTGGGACTACAGGTATGAGCTACCATACCTGGTTAATGTTTTCATTTTTTTCTTTTCTTTTTGAGATGGAGTCTCGCTCTGTCACCCAGGCTGAAGTGCAGTGCAGCTATCTTGGCTTACTGCCACCTCCGCCTCCTGGGCCTAAGCGATTCTTGTGCCTCAGCCACCTGAGTAGCTGGGACTACAGGCACACACCACCACACCTGGCTAGTTTTTGTATGTTT